CTCTAGCAGACTGTATGGGTTTTGATCCTATGGGTAGTGGTTGAGTGGTCCTAGGGGTCACCACACGCACGTATCGATCCTTTTTTTTATTTTATAAACAGAACCTTGTGGTTCTGGCTCCTTTTCCATTCTGGGGAGCATCAGTTCGGTTCCTATTCCACCAGCAAGTCAAAAGGAAGTACATATAGGGCTCACACACGCTCTTCCCCTTTAAGGTAGGAAAGCCCGAGGGAGGGCATTGATTACTTCTCGCCGGAAGGATGTACCACCGCTCACCCCTGCGTAAGTTAGCCTGGTTCCTTTTATTTTGAAACAAACCCAGAATTGTGGACCCTGTAGGTTTGCGTCAGGGAGGCCTCATCTCACCTGTTCCTCTCAGTACTTTGACAGCCAGATTCTCATTAAGCACGCAAACTGTAGACTTGATCCTCCTCAATAGGTCTTCGTAAACCCTTAACCCTCTCTGGTCTAGTTGCTAATGCCTATGGGTGAGATTAAAATCTGTCCCCCTTTTATCATCTTTCCACATCTACAAAATCTACCTGGTGCTAAAACCTAAACCCTAGCTAATTTAGTTGGCCTGCTAACCTTTACTTGAAATCTCTTTTTCTGGTCTGTATTACTCTGTAACCCGTATCCTAAGTTATCCTGTCAACTGGATAAAAGTCTTTTAAAGAGTCGTTTTGGGAACTATTTGTGGAGTGGGAACTGGTACTGTTTTTGCTAGCTTGAGAAGAGACTGTGCGGGGTGCTTGTAGGTCTAGGTTGTGGGATTGGATGGCTGATGTGTTTGGGTGTGTGATGTCGTGGCTGGAGGGGTATGGGTTGGGGTCAGGGCGGTTTGTGTGGAGGTAATGTGGCGAGTTGCGTGCGGGAGGGGAATGAAGGGTACGAGGGGTTTTAGGGGGGTTTGGGGATGTGTGATTCCTTATGCTGGAGATGAGGTCTGTGTGGGTTTGCTGATTGGCGTGCATTCTGTTAGTAAAAGCCTCTATTGTGATGTCGTTGGTGGCTGGGGGGGGGGGGGGGGGGGGGTTAGTTTAGATAGGGGAGAGGAGAATTCGAATGTGTTTGTTGTCTGCCTTTAGTATGGATACCTGTGGTGGTTTAGATGATGCTCAATGAGTCTGGTGTGCTAATCAAAGGTCTTGAGTCTGGACCAGCGTTCTGTGTTGTGTCGTTCCACATTGTGAAGATTAGGCCTGGGCCTTTGACAATTGCTATCTTACCCTTGGCGAGGTAGTCATCCTCAAATTTGGTTTGCAGATCTTTGGCTTTGGGTTTGTTCGCTTTCGTTTGATGAGGAACAAACTTCCCTTTTTCGGAAGTAGTTGCGGGTTATGAGCCCGACCCTCGCGTTGATGTCCTGAACTGCTTGTGCTTGTGTCTCAGCCAGTGGCTGCGGAAGAGTGAACGGTAAGCGTGACCATGATGCTGATCACAAGGCTTTGCGTCAACATGAGACTGGGAGGCCAGCAGATGTGCCACATGATATGGAGTTTGCAGGACCATCAAAACGGATACGGATCTCATTGTCTGATGAGCCGGAGGTGATGCAGAAGGTGAAGGATAGAGTGTTAGCAAATGAGTTGGAATGGCAGTCGGGTGCAAAGCAAATGGGGATGACCCATTTGACTTTGCGCAGCGAAACCAGCCAATTGATGCAGAGAAGTGAAAGTCCGACGTTTGCTCAGAAGAAGCGGAGCCCAGTGCAGAACCAGTGCCCGAGGGGTCATCAGAAGCGGACGAGGAATCAACATCAGCTGGAGCAGCGCGAAGAGGAGTATGCGATGGTGGAGGAATGCAGAGGTGGCGAGGTGACAGATTATGGCATGGAAGGGGAAGAAGAAGAAGATGGAACGAGCATTGAGAACGGAATTGAAACTGAGGAAAGTGATGAAGCCGCTCCGGATATGCTGAAGGACTCTATGGAGGACTGTGAGCATGACGAAGTAGACACAGGGGAGGAAGGTGGTGTGGCTTGTGGTAGCTGTGACAGCGATGGGCTTGAGCATAATGAAAGCCCAGGAGAGGAGGAGAGGGAAGCAGACGACTCAGCTGGAGTCCTGAACGGATCCGGTGCTGCAGGGGGAAGGTTGCGAGGGGTTGGAGGAGGCTATGCTAGGAGGAAGAGTCGTAAGTCTGTTGGTTCGGTGGCTCCCTTCTTCCCCAAAAGGCATGTGGTTCTTCAAGCAGCGAATGGTGATAGCAAGAGCCTTCAGATACTTCAATCCCTCAGCAATTTTGATATTTGTGAAATGCTTCGCCGAGAAACAGGGATCGATTACATAAGGCACAAGCTTAGCAAGTTGCATCTGATGGCGAGGCTGTTCAAAGTCATGGGTGGGAAAACCCCCCGGAAGGGGAGAAGGAAGAAGGCAGGAGGAGCCCTACCCTCAGTCGGGGGAAGTGGAAACACAGCATCTGCCTCCAACAACAAGTTGGATGCAAGAGTTGGGCCAGAAGGATTGGCAGCGGCCAATGGTGATGGAGGAATGGGTGCCAGTACCCGGCGGAGCTTCAAGAAACTGAGTGGAGTCGTTGGGTCGCTAACCACCAAAGGTACAGGAAGCTCTGATGCAGGTGCAGCAGGTGCTGCTTTAGGCGGAGAGATTAGTGGTGCGCCAACTAAGCCAGGAAGGAGGACTGGAAGCACGCGTTCGAGCAGCCTGTCGACTTGGACATCAGGTGTCTCTGGTAGAGCGGAAGTCGGGAGGGAGACTAGAGTGTGCCCTAACGCTGCCTGTGGAGAGCTGATCGATAAGGCCGACGCATACTGCCGTTATTGTTCCTGTGTGATCTGTCATATGTTTGATGGAGAGAAGGAAGAGCCTGGGCTCTGGGTCCAATGTACAGGGGTTCGAACCAGTGGTACCCGGTGCAAAGCGTACGGTCACATCGAATGTGCTCTGAAGCTGAAGATGGCAGGTGTGGTGGTTGTCGAGCTTGAGAACGGGGAGCGTGTGCAACTAGATGGACAGTACAAGTGTCTGGAGTGTGGCTGTGCCACAGGACTGTTGGGGTATGTTGGGACCCTCTTCGCTCTCTTGTTGTTTTTGCTTCTGTTGTTTGACCTCCTTGGACCCAGTTTCCAGCACATGTGACAAATTGACAATATATAATAAAGAGGTTCCCTTTTGAAAAAAAGTAAAAAAACAACAACAACAAAAATAGAAACAAGGCTCTCTCTTCCATGTCGATTCATTCCACTCTCTGTCAATCTGTTTTCACTCCTGGACTCCTGGAAGTTTTTATAGTACAGCAGCTAGCGTTTCCACATCAATGCTCTACATTACAGAAAACTCCTGGAAGTTTTTGTAGTACAGCAGCAAGCGTTTCGACTCTTTCGACACCAATAATGCAATTCTCTCAATTTCTCTGTAAATTGGTGCCATTGTGATAGGAACCCTTGAGCGCCCTGAACAACTCTTCGAGCCTTGTCGAAGAACAACGAAATCATCGCCGTATCTTATTAGGATAACTCGGCCTTCGGCCGCCTGTTGCTGAGCCCTCATTCTACCTTAGTCGAAAACAATGCGCTCTCTTGCACCTCATGTCACCATGAGAATTGGACCATGTCATCACAATTGGCATTTGGTTGAACTGTCACTACGCTTCTGTAGTTGATGTTGAGGCAATGAGGCGCAGTTGACATGTGGGGAGAATTTCCCATATGTTGAAAGTTGAAACAGTGTGCAATTAGTTATTTCTCACCACAAAAGACACAGAATGGGGCTGCATGCTTCCCTCCTCAAACTTCTCCAGACATGGAAAATGGTGCTGTTAACGGTGTTATTCTGCCAAAAAAAACAAGAAGACTGTGTTATTCTGCCTCTGTCATTATCCATTTATTTGACACTATTGAGACTGTACTGCACATGATGGTTCAGTGAAAATTCCAGCCCAGTATACTCATATTTGCAGAGTTGTGGGAATCTATTCAAACTTCAAAGCAAGTTTTCACTCTGTGTGTGTGTGTATGTTTCGAAAAACCCCAATATCTCTCTCTCTCTCTCTCTCTCTCTCTCTCTCTCTCTCTCTCTCTCTCTCTCTCTCTCTCTCTCNCTCTCTCTCTCTCGCTCGCTCGCTCGCTCGCTCTCCATCACCAAGTCGTCACAAACCATGCATGAAACAAAACAAAGTATAGATAGGCAATATAGTGGAAGTGCAAGGTTGGGCACGCTAGTGTGGTTAAGCGCCAAGCTCCCACACACCCGTCTGCCGCCGAAGCGGCACACCTCTGTGTGTGTGTGTGTGTGTGTGTGTGTGTGTGTGTGTGTGTGTGTGTGTGTCAGCATCCCCAAACTCTCTCTCTCTCTCATTCCATCCACATACCATCACAAGTGTGTGTCTTGTGTGTGTGTGTGTGTGTGTGTGTGTGTGTGTGTGTGTGTGTGTGTGTGTGTGTGCGTGTGTGTGTGTGTGTGTGTGTGTGTGTGTGTGTGTGTTTCTTGCATGGTATCGAGTTGTTGATCCAAGATGGCGGAAACAGCATGGGCAATGAGTGACGTCACCACCAGATAATAGAACGATGCTAGATGCTGTCGTCTTCAACTTCTGTATCTATGCTGTTAGCTGTTGTGCCCTGTTTCCATCATTGTTTTACTTGACACTACTGACACTGTGGTGGGCATGAAAAGTCAGTGAAATTTGCAGCCCGATGCGTTTGTCTTGCGATAGCAGTGGCATTCAATTCTAACCAGGTCCTCATGGTGTGTGTGTGTGTGTGTGTGTGTGTGTGTGTGTGTGTGGTAATGACTCATTGATCCAGGTGCTGGAAACAGCAATTGCGCGTAGCGAAGTCGTCAAGAGCACTTGACGGGCTCCGACAGCGGCTTGACCTTGCTCGCAGAATCCTCAGTGGCACAAAGCACTACATCACGCTTCATGAAATGGTGAGATCCTGAAGTCGAGGAACAGGACTGGTCCCCCGAATAGATCAGAGCGGGACCACAAGCCCTTCCCTTTTCTTTTGAATAAAGGAAAAAGTTCGAAAAACCGAAAAAAAACTTCAAAAAAGTAAAATGCCTCAGATGCCACCTGTGCGCCCAGACAGGGTCAGGCTGCTTGGGTATCCACATGGGTGAGGTCCCGGCAGGATCCCGGTCCAGCAAAAATATGAAAAAAAAATTAAAACAAAAAAAATAAAAAAAATCAGCTCAGTTATATATTTTGTAAAAGTTAGTAAAACTGCCGCCAATCAAAATTCTCTTACTAATTTGGAGACAAGCATAAAAAATTATTAAAAATTGATGATAAAATAATAAAAAATATAGCACTAGAGTCTTAAGATATACCAGTATAACCCTCTGAACTCCTTCAATGAATGAACTTTTGGGTCATCGTGCATGAGGAAATCCCCTCCATCTCTGAAAATAAACATCCGGGGCTCGAGAGAGAGAGAGAGAAAAAAAAAGGGTAGTACGTCTGGCTGAGGATGCATCACCTGTCAAAAAGAAAATCGCGTTGGATTGTGCGTTCCATTCCATTCCTTTTGTCAAGCTTTGTTGTTGTTAGAAAGGGTGGGGGGGGGGGAGGGGAAGGATTCAAGGTTGGAACCCAGACTGACGCAGTGCCTGCAAAGTAATAACTACAACTTCTACAAGTATAAAATAAAATAATATAACAAAATCTCTTTTTAAAATCGCCACTGCCTTTTGTAGCTGCTGTCCCATTTGGGAAAAAGAAATGACCTCGGCTGAAAAAATCGCCGCCCGGCGGCTGCTGATATTTTTCATCGGTGGCTACCTGCCTCTGAAATGAGTGGGACCCACCACGAGGCCAACATATGAGAAAGGCAGTGGCGGTTCAAAGGTTTTTATGCTCCGACTCCTTAGAGTCCTTACCCTTCCTTTTTAATTTGCGAAGAGCCTAATAGTGAAATGTCCAAAGTGCTCAGAGGTTGAAAGCATTCATATGGCTAGTCTATACCAGAAAAAGCTTTTGTGCCGAGTTCGTAGTCCTCTCCAGGTTCAGCATCGTCTGCCCTACTGAAAAGGCTCAGCGCGATCAGTCGCTTCAGGTCCTCCAGGAGGGTTTCATTGTTGCTTTTTCACGCACAAGGCGCTACCACGACGCGACTTTCTTCATTCAACGGAATCCAGCACCGTGTACGACACACAATGGAATCGTAACACAGCGAAACAGAAGCAGCTGTCATAAAGAAGAGCAGTTGTCTCAAAGAAGTGCTCTGACTCATCAGTGCTGGAAAAATGGCTGGCGCCGCCAGCCGAAAGAAGGCTCGTGCCGTGTTTTTTTTTTTTTTTTTTTGGCGCGCGCCGCGCAGTGCATTTCGAGGCTTGGCAAGGGAAGGGTAAAAAAGACTCGAAATGCTCAAAGCAAAATAAGTACTGGTGGTTTAATTAAATTAATTAAATTTAATTTATCTTTTCTTCTACCAGGCTCTTGACCTTCTCTCCCCTGAGACATGGGAACCTGTTAAGTCCATTGGGGAGCTTGTTCTTATGCATGGGGTTCCTCCTGATAGCTTCTCTCCTTTTTTAAGTTTTTAAACTTTTTTAAACTTCTTTTGCCAATGCATCGAATCTCGGTTTGAATGAAAATCCTCTGTTCTGGCCCACACTGCCCGAGCCTGCCTCTGTTTCTTTCTATCAATTGTTTGAGCACCTCTCTCCTTCCAGAAGGTCCATACTGGTGCCTTCGAATTTAAGGTAAGCCATTTGTTTTATCGGGGGACGTGGAGATGTTAATCCGGACTATATTGCGGTGGTTTCAACACTTCTGTTAGTCTCACGCCACGGTTTAGTACATATATTGCATGGCAGCATCAAGATCTGAGCCAAATTGAACAAAGGCAGCTACTTCACGATATATTGTGCAAGTTCTAGTTTAAGACTACCGGACACTTGTCCTTCGGGAAGCTCGGGACATCCGTTAAAATTGGAACGATACAGAAACTGAAGATTAGCATGGCCGCTGCGCAAGGATGACGCACACAAATCGAGAAATGGTCCCAACAAAAAAAAAAGAAAAAAAAAAGGCTTTCAATTGAGTTGCAGAACCTTCACGACGTACAGGCAACCTTGAAATTTTAGGTGCTGCCCGACCGCAGTGGACCTTCCCCCTGGGCTGTTTGTGGTTACAAGTCAAAGATTTTCCCTGCTTGCGCACTGATTCTTTGGCTCCTCCTTATTTGCATTTGCACCCGTGACTTTTGGAACTTGTGTGGTACTCCTAGGTGGAGGAGGCCGCTCGAAAGCTGGAAGAAGAGATTGGTCCCCTGGATGCCTCTGTTGTTGGTGGCATGAGAGAGCATGTGTGGCGACGACCCAAGGCTATGGAAGTAAGGTTTTTTATTCATTGTTTGCTTCTCATCTTAGCTCTCCTTACACGCTCGCACACTATCATCTGTTGGCATGAGAGAGCATGTGTGGCGACGACCCAAGGCTATGGAAGTAAGGTTTTTTTTTCATTGTTTGCTTCTCATCTTAGCTCTCCTTACACACTCGATAAGTTTTTTTTATTCATTGTTTGCTTCTCATCTTCGCTCTCCTTACACACTCGCACACTATCATCTGTTGACTCGATCAAAGCGCGATTAGCGTACCTCGCATCCTCCCATCTTGTCCTGTCCTCCCATCTTGTCCTGTCCTCCCATCTTGTCCTGAACTTTCAGTCAGGTACGAGTCTATGGATAAGCTTGTGAAGAGATGCAGACAAAACCGCAGTTAAAGATAAGGAGGAGGACCGTACGCAGCATATGGACATGGCGTCGATCTGTTCTTGGGATCATCACCATGGTTCCTATTCCACCGGAAAGTTATGAAGTAATATGAAATCGTATGGCTGGATATAAGTCGGTAAAGACAGGCGTGGTATTTGGCAAAACTGGACTGTCAGGTCGAAGAAGAATTGGCCAACATGGACTTCTGCTTTTCAGAATTGGCTAAATGAGAGCTCCAGTTTTTGAAATTGGCTAGTTGGGACTCGGGAGCCCCCCGGAGAAAGGCCATGGTTTTGCGGGGGTGGGACCCCCTTTTGCAGTTCCCCCCTTGCTAGGTGCCTATTGCCACAAGGGGTTAGACTGTTCCACTTCTCTAGTCGGATATCCCCCCTTCTTTGGATGTACATACATGGGCTTGCTGGTAATAAGAAACCGGACTGTTGCGCGGCTTGCGCCCCAGAATAGAAGGGGCCATTGTGTTTTTTGGGGACTGTTTTCCAGAGAAGAAGATAAAGGCAAGCTTACAGTCAATCCTTTACGCGAGTGGAAAGCAATCAATGCTGTTCAGGGTTCGTTCGGCGATATGGGAGGAGGTGTGGGTGTTTCAGTTGTATTTTTCTGTGACTTGCCGGGGAAAAGTAAGTGGACTGATGCTTCACAGAATGAAAATGGAGCTAGGGCCATAAGAACCACCTGACTTTGACTTTCTCCCAAAAAAAGAAAAAGGTGTGCAGAAAGTTGGGGAAGCGTGGGAAGAAAAGGGAGGGAGAAAATGCAAAAGAAAACTTGTTTATAGCTTGGGTTCATGTCTTGTTTGTGGCGCAGGTGCAAGCCATGATTGGACGAATACTTGACAAAGCGGAGATCTTAATGGACAGCTCAGATGTATCAACAGATAGAGATGGTCCTAGAGACATGGGGGATATCAAGGAGGCCGGCGGGGGTGTTAAATGCTTTGTATGTGGCGACAAGGGGTCTCTCATAATGTGCAGTGGCAAGGAATGCCGTCGAGCGTATCATCTTCAATGTGCCGGGCTGTGGGTTATGCCTCCCCTCGGAACATGGTTATGTCCCTCCTGCGCTGCAAAAGCGGCGTCTATGTCTGTGCCAGGCTCTCGAGGTAATGTACTGAACCTTTTCCTTGTCTTTTGCTAGATAGTAGATAGTCCGTCCAAAGAATGAAAAGCATTACCTTCTCCGTGTATGAACAAACACACCTGCGAGCACCACCCCTGGTCGCGTAGTGACCTTCTTCACCATAAATGGAACGCCCGTCGCCCCATCATCATAGCCATATTCGGTGCAATCTCCAGTCTAGATTCAGGGATGATGACCGGGCGTTCTATTTGGGTCGAGGGTGAATTTGGTCGGTAATTGCTCTATGTTCATCGCAGTCTCCTGCAATTAGCATCGATTACATTTCCGGAAGAGTTCATACACCGTCCACTTGAGGGGTAACACCTCTCTCTCACCTTGTCTCTCCTCCTCGCTCCCCTTCTCCTTACAATGGCTTACGCCTATGCTTCCCTGCTACGCCTATGCTTCCCTGCTCTGTACCCTTGTTTCCAGCAATGACTCAGGTTACTTTTGCATACTAATAGCTCTCTCTCGGTGCTTTGCGGACACTGTCAGCTTTTCAGTGGTCCACATATAAATGGCCGATCCCAGAACAACACTGGCAGGTACTGGGGTTTTGGTTGCGCTGAACTTGCGCAGCCCTGTAACCGTCACGCTAGGGGGGGGCATGAGGCCTGGTAGATAGATCTGGGGAATGCGCAGCTGGCGCTCTTTTAGTTCATAGGTAGGTATGTGACAATATATAAGTATTGGCTTGATGTGTTTCTCCAACTTTCTCGTACTTCGTTTAGACGAGCCTGAAAATGAGCCTGTTCTGTTCCCACTGCCAGCAATGACTGAGGTTATTTTCGTATGCTATATTAGTGTTTTTGGTTTGATCTGTTATCGGCTTGATCTGTTATCCCATACTAAGTTAAACTGAGCCTGTTTTTGTTCCCACTGCCTGCGGCCTGGCTTATGCTGAAGTATTTATAACAGCACCAGCGTGGCTTGGCCCTGAACGCAGTCTGTTGACTTGCTGTTGGTCTTATGACCACAGGCCTAGCCCGCAGAGCACCACCATTAGGAACTGAAAAACGGCATTTTCCCGACGCTTTTGCCATTTGAGAAGAGCCACATTGAGCAAATGTGTAAGTTGATGTGCATGGTGTGTGGAAAAGGGGTTGCTGTGGTGATCGAAAACACAGACATGCATGCAGATGCGTCAACCTAACACATAGAAAACGAGTTTGTGAAAGAACTGTCGCCTGTGATTTCTTCAACGAAGCAACTCTAACGAGGCCATGGGAGCCCTTGCTGAGGTCGAGAATGTCATGCGATAATACTGTCTTCACCCGGATTGAGCCCTTGCCGAGGCGAAGAATGTCATGTGCAACTGTCGTCACCTGTATTCGGGGTAACTTACTGTCAAGATGCAGTGATAATGACCAGGCAATGGCAGGCATTCTATTTTCAGAGATAGATGGGAGTCCAGGAAGACACGGGCAAATGTACTTCAACAATATGAACTATTATGAAGATGATCCTCTCTCAGCATTTAGCTACACAACTTCCTGGACCCATCATCTTCAACAGCAGCGGAGCATCAACCATGCAGGAAGCCTCTCGTCTACTCTCAACAACTCGTTATCACGCGTGCTTTGCTATGCCATGAGGGCTCTCGCTTCTGGTGATGCCACGGCGATAACGACCACTCCACCAAAACGTATTACATGTCAGTCCTGTTTGAATCACCTTTGAGAGAGAGAGAGAGTAGACTCTTTGAATCCACCAAAGAGAGATGGTAATGACCTTCCTCTACTCTCTTTGAATCGCAAATACTAGACGAGCTCACCCTCACGCGCCTGTTCCTGCTCAGCAGACAATAGTTTAGAATCACAAATACTAGACAAGCTCACGCTGACGTGCGTGTTGCTGCTCAGCTTTCTGTAACTGCATATAGCATGGGTCAATATCTTCAACTTGCTAACCTGACAGGACATTGAGAACGAGAACGAGAACGAGAACGAGAACGAGAACGAGAACGAGAACGAGAACGAGAACGAGCACGAGAACTCGACCAAAGGCCAAGCCTTGTCTGGTTGGCTGAAGTATGTCGTAAATCGATAGAAATGTTCAGATTCTTCAGAAATATGCTGTGAGCAAGCAGGACTTACATAGAAAGAGAACTGAACTGGTCAAGAAGGGGGAAGGGGGGAGGAGGGGAGGGGGGGGAACAGGCAAACAAATGATCCTGTCCCGGGGTTGCGTATCCTGCTGCTCTTTTCTCTGAATTTTTTATTTCTTTTTCAATATTTTTTCTCTGAATTAGTTTGTCTGATATGGGTCGAAAACTTGGGTGTGGTATGTTGACGTGTTTGATTTCTTTCCAATTGTGATCAACAGACCGAGGTGAGAAGATGCAGCGGCCCGCACCATTGACAGAGGTGGCATGTGGTCTGGGCCCGCCGACAGGTCTTAGATTCTCGGAGATCAGATCCACTTCGGTGCGGGTGCATTGGCAAGGCCCGGATGTAACCACTAGTGGGGATGCGCTGGGAGCGTTGGCGAACTCTCTTCTTCTCGGATACAAGGTATGGCATAAGAGGCGCGATGACAATGAGTTTGGCCGGCCGCCTCGAGTACCTGGACAGGTGACTTCTTTGTCTGTTTTGGGTCTGGACCCCGACACTGAGTATGTCTTCAAGGTTGCCGGAGTCACTGTTCATGGAGATACCCAAGAGAGCCGAATAGCCATCTGTCGAACAGCACCTTCAGGTCAGTAATAATTATTAATTACTAATAAATAGTAACCAGAAAAAAGAAAAAAAAAGTAACCAGACTGACCAACTGGCCTAGATCAGTTGGTGCAAAGACCCAAGTTCGAATCCAGATGCAACTCTGAATCTAAGTGGGGGGCGTCAGTTCGAAGAGGACAGACATCTCAAGGCTGTCGGCGTGTCGCCCTTAAACCACCACTACCTTTCAGAGTGGAAGGCTAAGTTGTAAATATAACCTACACCACATTCTTCAGAGACCGGGCGCCACCGGACCAAAAAAGCGAGCGGCACCCACGAAAATGAAAGAAACAAGCTGTGCTGGCGCTTCGTCAAAGCTTGGCGTGCAGTTCTTTCCCCCTCGGCAAAAAGAAGCTCAGAGATAGTGGTGTTTAAAGTTTCAAACAAAAGAAAAAAAGAGGTTAACCAACTGGCCTGGCTCAGGCGGTACACCCATGACTTGTTGAAACTTGAAACAAAGACCCGAGTTCAAATCCAGATGCAACTCTGAATTTACCTGGGGCCAATCAGTATGAAGATGACATCTGAAGGCTGTCACCCTTAAGGTGGGAAGAATGGAGGGGGGGGAGGGGGGGGAAGAGGAGGTAACCAGAAGAACCCCGATGTAACATGTATAGTGCAGGACCCAAGGTAGTGTGGACCTTATTCGGCCTTCTTCGGCCACTTTTGGTGCAAATACTACAAAGGATCAAACATAGGTAGATAGGATTAAGGTTTAGGGATAGGAAGGCAGGTTTAAAGCCAAGAAAAACCTGATGGTAGGAGAGGTAGGATATCAAGGACTTTAGGGTTCAGTGATACAGATGACATGGGGATAGGAGGCAGAGGAAATGCTGGGCTCAGGTAGACATGGTGGGAAGGTGCGAGTAAGTAACAGGCGGGCCGAGGGGCTGCTACGACACCCCCCCCATCCCGTGCCTTGACCCCTTAGGGATTGTCCTCCAGTGTGCCTGGGTGCTGCGAGTAAGCTTCCCGACTTGCAGGACAATCCCCAAGGAAAGGCCAAAGGGTGGGAATGGGTGGTGCTGGAGCAACCCGTCCTTGGATAGGCGGCTCGAGCCACAAGGGTAGGCTGACTGTCTTTTCTGTGTCTAATCCCTTCAAGAAACTTTGCTTGCCGGTGACAAGCAACCGGACTGATGCCCCCCAGTATAGAAGGGGCTGGGAGTTTTTTTTTTTTTTTTTTTGGGGGGGGGGGGGACTCATGTAGTCCTTCAGGACATCCGTTAAAATTGGAACAATTACAGAGAAGATTATTGTTTACAGAGAAGATTATTGTGGCCCCTGTGCAAGGATGACACACATAAGTCAAGAAATGGTCCAAAAGAACAAAAAGAAAAAACTTCAAAAAAGAGAGGGAAAAAGAATTAACCCCTGTGTAACGTCTGTGTTGCCATCTGCTCTGTTAGTTATATTAACACAGCTTCAGTTGTCAAGATGATGTAGGGCAATGGTGGGGTATTGCTGTTTGAGGTGGAGGGGCATCTATGAATGATTACATGAAGCTGACAGAGCAATGTGGTCTGCCGGCATGCTTACGCATCAGCTGGTCACTGATGCAGCATTTTTCTTGCTGGCCTTATCGTTTGTCGATTTGCAGAGACAAGCAAGGTGGCATTTTCGCGTAACGCACGAAGCCCCGATCGAGCTGGAATCATCGGTGCTGGTGCTGACTTGGAATTGGTGGGGGATGATCACGGTGAGAAATTCAGTCATGTGGCACCATCGCATGGTACATGGAAACGACCAATCGCAGGAGGAGCCAGAGCAGGAGGGGGAGCAAGTGGTGGAGGAGGCGGAGGAGGAGGAGGAGGGGTAGGAGGAATCGGATTTGATATTGACAGGGATAGGGAAGGAAAGATGGGCATTCCGATGGCACAACCGTATTCTGGGTCAGGTAAGGAGAAGGGTGCTGATGGTGATGAGCATTTGGGAAATGAAGGAGGTTGTCAAGACTTGACTCGAGGAGCAGAAGGTAGTGGGAGTGGTGGCTGCGGAGCGACCGTTTTCGGAAGTCAGGATACTAGTCTTGATGAAGCTGGCTACGGAGGTGCAATAGCTGGTGGTGGAGGTGGAGGGGGGGGGATGTGTTCGGGCGTTGGCGGTCCTGCAGTAGGTGGGCGGGTGATGTTGACGGAAGGCGATCGGGAGGCAGTGAATTGCCTCCGTCAGGTGCGGTCTTTGGAGAAAGGCGGTCACCTGGACAAGGACTTCCGCCTGAAATTCCTGACATGGTTTAGTAGGCGTGCCAGTGATGACGAGAGAAAAGTTGTTGCCATGTACATGTGTGCACTTGGAGACGACCCGGCAGCTCTTGCTGAGCAGCTGCTTCATACTTTCTCTGAATTTGTCTGTATACCTCCGAAGCTGCCGTCCAGGGCAGAGCATGAAAAAGCCGAGACATTGAATTGCTTGTCGGCTGCCAATCTCACTGTCAGTAGTGCTTGTGGGGTTGGTTCTGCCTGGGCAGCTATGGCTGTTGACGAACGGCGAGATCTGCAGGAGGATGGAGGCGGGACCATCACAGTCGGAGGTGGCTTGTTATCAGGTCTCGCTCCAAGCGGTAGCGGTGCTGGCAGTGGTGGCTTGAATGGCATGGCTCTGTCAAGCAATTCTCATCCCGCTGGGGGAGGTGGAGGAGCTTGGAAAGGAGTTGTCCGGCTCCCCCCTGCAGTTTGGGATAAGGTTGATCAGTCGTTCCCGTAAAGCTGCGGGCGTTTTGAAACCCCAACGTGTGTGTGTGTGTGAGCAGTCCTTCACACATGGCGTTCGCGCATGCATGTAATGCATGCATGCATGCATTATAGAATTTGGAAACAGATTGGCATGACAATGACATGGTCATGCAGAGGTATGAACCCCCCTCCCCCCCAAAAAAAAGAAAAATATATCATACCCCCTGGCGTTCGCGCATGCATGTAATGCATGCATGCATGCATTATAGAATTAGGAAACAGATTGGCATGACAATATCATGGTCATGCAGAGGTAGGAACCCCCCTCCCCCCCCCAAAAAAAAGATAGAATTATCATACCCTTCTAGAAGTTAAGGAGCTTGAAGAGGGAGTACGATCAGGGGGAGGAGGTTAACAACCTGCAGCTTGCCGAGCGACTGGGGAAGGCCGGTCTTTCCTTTCATTGACCGATTGACTGGTTACTGAGTTCTGTTGAGTTACTCAAGCGGCATTGATTGACTGGCGACTGACTTCCGTGGAGTTACACAAGAGGGGTTAGTGCAGTCACACAGGCGGGAGGGATGGAACGGAAGGGTAAGAACATTCATTCTTGCTCCTGGGGGGCTGCAGCCTACGATCGGGCAACGTCAGAAGGGCATATTCTGACACTGCCTAGTAGTTTTAGGAAGCGCACTGAGCAGACAAAATTGCCTGCAGGCTGCAGCCCCTTGAACCAGCCTCCCCCACACTCAAAGATACAGGAAGCTCATTCTGTGAGTGCATTATGAGCCTCTGCCTGTGCTGTCACATATCAACCTAGTCTCCGAGCCGATGGCCGTGATAGACGATCCTAGCGTAGACCAAACTCGGCGCACAACACAGGTTACCTGCATGTCTTATAGACGACCTATACCAGTCACGTTGCCAAGGCAGGGCAGGCTATATAGTTGCTAGCTAGAGCCTAGAGCCTAGAGTTCACAAAAGGTAGCGCACGCTAACTAAACTCTGCTTGTATAGGCGGGAGTGGGGGAATGCCCAGCACAATCGGGCACAGGACGCTACGCGACAATGCTCTCTTTGAGTGTTTGTTAATTATTCAGGTATACGTTGTCTCTGACACACTGCGTCTCGCCTCTATATTTTGGTGAGCCGGGCTGGGGAGACGTGTTTATTGGTAATGGTTGACATTGACTACATCAACGGCTTCATCTTCGTTGATGTAGGAGCAAGGCAGAAATGAGTCAGCGCCCTTGTGCTATTATCGCACAAGTGCAGAATGATTGTCATGTTTCCCTTCTTGATGGCCATACCGCATCTGTAACATTATGATGACCATTATAGGATGAATGAATGAAAGAATGAAACCCCCTACTTGTGGGGCTTTCGCTTGAGAAAATGAACTATTTTTTCGATCGTTTCCTACGTTTGGGGGGGGACTAAGAAGGAAAAGGAACTTGCCTAGCCCACCCCCCATCACCACATCATATTTGCCAGATTCCACAATATCCTCCTCCTTGAGGTAAAAGCCAAAGTGGGGAAGGATCAATGGTTCATTTATTGGCCATTTCTGAGCATTAGTTTTCTATATGAAGAGTCAGAACTGATCTTCACCTCCCATAGGACGGCGACCGTCTTCCCACAATCAGTGAATGTGTTCTCACATCGCCACTGCACGGCAACATGTCATCATCCGCTGACTCATACTGACAATGGGCCTCACTCCTCTACATAGCATTCAAAATGTATTTGGCGCTGGCGATGGTCCCAGTGCATTCAGAATGTTTGATCACAGTCCAAATGTATCTGTTCCATGTGCCAGGCTCGATACCTGTTGAACATTGAGTTGTGCACCGAGGCCCCACGACATGCATTCACAGTGACTAGTCAATCTGTGATGTATCTCAGAGCATAGGTCCTAAACACATTTGTCAAAATAGGCATATGATAAGCGAGGAAGGCTTTATGATTCTTCCAATGTCTACACGTCGTGGCGTCATGTGGACATGCGCTCGCCCTCGTCATCCTCATTGTCCTTCGCCGCTGCGTGCCGTCTCCTTAGGACGTGGGGAATGGGTGATGAAACAATGCACTTCACTTTTGCAGGGTTAAAGCGGATGTTCACTGATCCTATCCTCAGGAACGAACGTGACAAACTGTGGTCCCGGACAGAACTAAGGTCGTATCTAACAAAGGAAATCATTTGATTTCAGAATCAGTTATATCCTGTCTGTGATACGAGGGCGCCATGCTTCGGCCCACATCCTTAATTCGCGAAGAGCTGATTAAGGTCCGTACTGATAGTTTGTGTCCCTAGATCCATTTGTGGACCGCGGTACATCTCAGCCACTGCATACATACTTGAGGTTTGGTGCGGACTGGTTTGTGCCGCCTGTGCATATGAACACTCGGCTACAACAGAACACAACTGGAAGGGGAACCATTGAATTTTTGCATCAGCTTCCCTGGCAACCGGCTGCTTACCTATACGACAGTATTGCACAGAGCCTAGTAGTTGTGCTATAACTGTTTCAGGCTGATGCATGGTCGGCTGCGTGGCGTTTTTCAGAACCGTTTTATACTGAGGTATGGGAGGTACCTGGTATTTGTGCCATGGTGTTTTAGGCTGCTGCATGGTCGGTTGCATGAGATTTTTCAGAACCGTTTTAGTATCAGAGTCATGGGCATTGAGAGAGTGTTCAGCCTACCTCTTTCTCTTTCTCTCTCTCTCTCTCTCTCTCTCTCTCTCTCTCTCTCTCTCTCTCTCTCTCTCTCTCTNAGAGAGAGAGAGAGAGAGAGAGAGAGAGAGAGAGAGAGAGAGAGAGAGAGAGAGAGAGCACCTCACCTGATGAAGATGATGTTGAAGATGAAGTAAGGGGTAGGGATATTATGTTGCTGACATCAGGAAGAAGTCGGATCGGCAAAGGGGTGGAAGCAGGCTATGGTGGTTTGGTTTCTCTCTCCTTATCGACTCTGATCGGGAAAGGGAGAAGAGGCAAGGAAGCATCCGGAAGAAATGGAGAGGGGAAGAGGGACATGATGAGGGATCGGGTTCTGGATGACCAGTCGAAAGAGGAGGAAAAGGTAAGTGGGAAGAAGAGCAGGGCATGAAGGACTGTGGATCGAAATGCAATGGGGAGGGAGAGGAGGATGTGGGAGAGTGAGGATCAGGGAAAAGGAATATGAGTGTGGCAGCTGTTGGGGATTTGAGATTGTGGTGAACGAGGACAAGCGTAGGCGTTGTGGGGGAGGTGGGACAGGGGAAAGGAATGGGTGCGCACCGATTGAGAGCTGTCTCTTATACACATCTAGATGTGTATAAGAGACAGCACACACACACACACACACGCAAGGGTCTCTCTTGCATGCTTTTACTGCATGCCACTGAATCCCTCGTTAGCATAGTTTGCCACTTTTGGTCTGTCTTCTGCCTGTCTCTCTCGCTGTCCTCCTCCAGTCTCCCACGCCCTCTGGCTAGGCAAGATGTTTGGCAGCTTTGGCCTATTCTGGAATGAGAAGGCAATCCCTGAGTGGGCTTTGCCAGGGAGCAAGGCGAGGTGTCTTGCCCCATTATGCAGTGCCATCGGCGCACAGGGACTGAATGACCCTTCCATAGTATCTGATGTGGGCCCTAAGTGAGCCCCTAACCTCCTAACCACCCACCAAGGCACCGACAATCTAGCTTCGGGCTTGCCTGTTGCCACATTTTGGGGGGGAATATAGTCGTCGTGATGGTGGGGAGGGAGAGCATTTGAATTTTGGATAGAATCACTTGTTGCATGGACGAGGAATTGAGAGAGATGGCAAAGTTGGCCGCGAATGGGGGCAGGCTGAAAAGAGTGATGAATGGCCAGGGGGAGGGCAATGGATATCATTAGGAATACTAGAACTGTACATAAGAGACTGTTCAGACTCTGACAAGGGAATTTTAGCAAAAGTGCTTGCCCTTGAGCCGTCCGACACTGAGAAGGGGCATATGGCGTTTCTTTGGACGGGCGTGTCTGCTATCTTATATGCAGCAACGTGTATGCTGTTATTTGGGTTTTCAACGGGGGAAAGGCGGTCATGGCACATGCCCCATTCTCTCTCATCTGATGATCCATCAAGGCTTTTCAAACTTTCGACTATTTTGTTTGCTAGTTCCATGCTTGCGTTTCCTCCGGTTATCCCTCTCTGCTTGTCTTTCTCACTTGTTTATACCAGTTGCACGGAGAGCTCCATCTATGTCGATGGGGAAATGGTTGCAGGTCATTCGATCGATGAATGGGTTCGCTGAGTTTCGCTCTAATTCCGATGATCAAGAAATGGTTGAGAGTTCGAGGATTCCCCATTTTCAACATTCAGGTGTGCACAATCGCCGCAATGCATACACAGGTGTCTCTCAGTTTTTCCACTTTCTTTGCCTTCTTTTCCTCTGTGTGTGTGTGTGTGTGTGTGTGTGTGTGTGTGTGTGTGTGTGTGTGTGTGTGTGTGTGTGTGTGAGAGAGAGAGAGAGAGAGAGAGAGAGAGAGAGAGAGAGAGAGAGAGAGAGTCTCCGGCCAACATTCGAAAAAAAAACAACTTAGGGCGCGTGCGCTGCTTTTTTCTGCTGCCACTCTGTGAGTGTGTGTTTGTGTGTGTGAGAGAAAGAGAGAAAGAGAGCGGGAGAGAGAGGGAGAGAGCCTCCTTGGCCCTATCCCTCCACACATCCACTTCCAACCGTCTTCGTCCACCTCCCCCTTTTCCCTTTCTCCGACCACCTCCTTCCTTCAGCATCTGCGCGCACCCTTTTCCATAATCATGTGGACAAGAGAGAGAGAGAGAGAGAGAGAGAGAGAGAGAGAGAGAGAGAGAGAGAGAGAGAGAGAGAGAGAAGGCAACCACGCGCAATCCATAGAGCATTGGTTGATCACAAACATTTTGGGAAACATAGTCCCCCCTCTCTCCCTGTCTCCACATCTTTTTTTTCTTTTTCTTTTTTCGCGTACGAAGCTGCAACTGTTACCCTTGTTAATATATAAACTGCCTTCCTTTTTATATAAAAAAAAAAAGTAAAGAAAATTCAAAAATGTCCTTCAGGACATCTGTTAACATTGGAACGATACAGAGAAGATTAGCATGGCCCCTTCGAAAAAGAAAAAGAAAAAAAAAAAGTGCAGGGGACGGGGATAAGTTGATAGCCCATTTCCCTACACTATGGAAATCGCTAATGTAAGAAATCCAACCTCTGGGGTCAGGTCCCACTAGCAGCGTTTGAGTTTCCTCAACGCCTGAATCTGGTCGTGTGTTGTGGAGATGTGCAGAAATGGCGTTGAGTTTTCTCAACCGCACATCTCCACAAAGACGTCCAGATTCAGGAGTTGAGGAAACTCAACACTGCTAGTGTGACTTGGCCCCTGGGCCGTCGACGGTCCTACCAGGCCATGGCCGGGATCGTCGCACGATCTTAAGATTTTAAGATGGCGTGACGATCCTGACTGTCGGCCTGGTACTACTGGACAAACGGGCCAGATCATAAATCCGCAGCCCAAACGAACTTTGGGAGGGGTCTCCTGACGGCAGGGGTCAACAGACTAAAGACAAACTGGTTCCAGGCCGGTCCCCTATTCCATAGCGCCGAATCAAGCTTGAGCTTGGCTGCCGGTGAAGTACGAAGTGCACCGCTGTCAGCAACATGCGCTCACACTGACTCACACACACACGCAACTGCAGGTGCACACACGGACACAAACGTGCATGCACACACATGCGCGCGCTCACAAATCCATCCTGTGCGGACTGTCGGTGTTCAACGTCCTCATGACTCGGTGAAAGTTCGACAACACAGTTTGGCACAGTCATGCTTTTTTTTGTGGAGTTGTCTATCTAACATGACAAAGCACGCACCCATGCATACACAGCCCCACACCCCCACACCCCCACACCCACGCACACACACACACACACACACACATATGCAAGCGCACACTAACGAGCATAACAAACGGCACACACACGAACACACTAAGAG